GGGGGATGCTGGTGAAGGAAATGAGGGAAATATAACTTAACAATTAGAGCGAACACGATAGTTTTCTAGACGCACATGAATGAGGACTTCAACTTCACTTGAGAAACGAAAGGACCGGTAGAGAGGTCACGAGGAACTCGCCCAAGGTCACACAGATGGTAAATGGCAAAGCCGGACCTGGAGGCCAGCCCCCATCCCGACCCAGAATCTGTGCTCTTGACCCACTATGACCACCTCTCGGCTAAGAGCTATCCCCAGGGTCACGTGTCTCCCTTGCGGTGTTAAGGGTGCACGAGTCGGGGGGTGCCTGGGGGGCTCAGTCGCTTGAATGTCCGACTTCAGCTCAGGTCATGATCTCACGGTTCGTGAGTTCGAGCCCCGAGTCGGGCTCCGTGCTGATGGCTCGGAGCCTGGAGCCTGCTTCGGATTCTGTGTCTCCCTCTCTCTCTGCCCCTCCCCTGCTCACACTCTGTCTCTCTTTCTCAAAAATAAACTAAACATTAAAGAAAAAAAAAAACATGCACAAATAAAGGTGGTCTTGCTGGGTCCCCTGCTTCCTTTGCCTGAAAGCCAGCACCCAGACGGCCTGGGTGTGAATCCGGGCTCTGACCCTTCCTCACGGACGTGACCTGGCCTCCAGCATTTCTCCGCCTTCAGTTACGTCTCCGGTAGAAAGCGGCTGGTATTAATAATGCCGATCTCACAGGATTCGGAGAGTCGATGTGTTTGACACAGAACATTGCCCGGCCTCTGATCAATGGGTTCGGTGACGTCCTCACTCACGTCACCGAACTTTTCTTTCTTCCAGAAGACCAGGGGGCTAACGGAACAGCTCACGATTATCCTTCACTCTCGGCATTTACATCGGTATCTTTTTAACATCTCTATTTTAGATTTGGAGCATTACATAAACTATCTTATTATCTATTAGATACATAGCTATTATTAGGTAATTAGCTAAAATTAGAGAGTTTGGGCCGGTGGTGCCTTTGGTGAACTGGGGGTTACCTGCCCCCGGTGGAGTGACATTCAGAAGAAAACATCTCCAGACACAACAGGGGCAGGAGGGCGGCAGGACCCCCTCCGTGTGGCCCCTCTGCCTTCCAGCTGCAGGGCAGGGCCGAGGCCAATGCTGTCGCACATCCCCCCGATGGTGAGGGCAGATACCACGCCGCACCCGGGCACCCGGTGCTCAGCCCTGCACGACCTCAGGATTGGGTGGGAGGCCCGATTGCTCGGGGTCACCTCACCTACCGTCACTCACCCCTTTTTCCTTCTCCCCCCACCCACCCCCTTCTCCTGCCTTCTCTCTCCAGCTCCTTACCTTCAGTGTCACCGGCTGCAAAGGTCTTCAGGACCAGCCCAGTGGCCCGCAGGGAAACGGCGACCTCTTGGGCCCGGTGGCTGAGCAGGGCCTGGAGGGGGGATGCGGGCACCAAGGGGGTCCTCAGAACATCCCTGTCCCCCCGGGCACCCTCGTGTCAACAGTCCTGCTTCCCACCCCTGCCCTGACTGAGATTCTTGTCCGAGTCACCAATGTCCAAGGCGGGGCTGGCGGGGAGAGGCGGAGGGCACTCTCGGCCCCAGGGAGCACGGTCAGCCTCCCAGGCCCGAAGGGACACGTCTCCCATGCCATCAGTTCAAGCATCTGGCCAGCTAGGGAGGAAGGCATCCTCCAGCAACAGGACAGGCCCCTTGTCCCTTAAATCACGTGGCCTCCTCGGCTGCGTGCCAGGCCAGTGGTAATTTGCTCATCCCTGCAAAACTCTCCAAAGGCTGGGGAAACTGGGGCAGGAGGTTCTGGCTCCGTCTGCTGCCACCAGCCTGTCCCTGATGCCTGCTTCCAACCCTGTGCCTCCCACCTCCTCCTGAGCAGCCCCCCGCCCCCCACGAACCACTCACCTTCTGGTAGCAAATGTTGAGCTCAGCCCCTGGGCCCTCGGCTGCGCCCCTCCTCCTGGGTGAAAAGCCATCTGAGGGAGGAGGAGGGAAGAGGGTGAATCGCGTAGGAGGCTCCTGCCCCTCCCGCCTCACCCAGGCCGAGCGGAGCTGCTGAATTGTGACAGCATCTCTCCTTGGATGGAAAGGAAGCATCTCGAGGGTTCCAGTCCAGGCAAGCTTGGAGGAGCCAAGGGCACCCCGGTATTTGGTGGAGTTGGGGGGAGCATTAGGTGAGAGGCGGGAGGACGTTCCAGAAACAGGGCTTGGCCGGAGATGCGTCAGTGAGCTCTGGGAAGGGAGGATGCTCACCTTTGGGGGGCTTGGTGTCTTGAATCTTCACCTTGAGCTCAGTGAGAAAAATGTCCTCTGCAGGGTGTTGGCTCAGGTCCCTGAAGATCTGGAGGGAAGGAGGAGGTGTGGACGGTTGGAGAGCTTCTGGAAGGAAGCAGGGCCGGGGCCCCCACCGTCCAGGCAGTGACTTCCCGGACCTGCCTGTCCACAGGTGTCCAGTGATGTAATATATTTACAAATAGGGGAAGCCACTGGTATCAGAACCCAAGCCGTCCTCGACGGTCTGCAACCACGACAGTCTAACGAGGAATGAACGGGGCACACAATTCACACAGGGGCGGGGCCGTGTGAGAAAATCTCTTGTGGACGCCAGAAGGGCCAGAGAGGGGGACCCCATTCCTGACTTGCAAGGCGAGACCAGCCAGGACGGAAGGGCTCGAGGGAGCTGAGCCATTCTGGGTTGGGGCTGGAAATCTGGGGCTGGAGGGGCGTCCCTGGGACCCTGATGGGTCAAGACAGGAAGCAGACCCTGCCACCGTCACAAACACAGGAAAAAACAGGACTGTGTGCGGGCCCCATCCCGACATTTTTCCAATCAAAGGATTACTCAGAATTAAGAACGATCCAGATGCCCAACCACAGAACCACTCCCGGCCTCCTGACAGCTTCTGAGCCAGGGCACAGCCCTGCTTTGGGGGCT